GTCTGGAACCCAGGAGACCCACTCTGCATGCCCCAGCACCCCGAGTGAACGAGCCTCATGTCTGGAACCCAGGAGACCCACTCTGCATGCCCCAGTACCCCGAGTGAACGAGCCTCACGCCTGGAACCTGGGTGACCCATTCTGTGCACTCCAGCACCCCCAGTGAACGAGCCTCACATCGAGAACCCAGGCAACCCAGCTATCTCACTGTCCTCTAGAACGTCTCTGAAACCATCAGAGAGGCACCATTACCTTGTGTTCCGCAGACTTGATGGAGTTTTTATGTTTCTGTCTTTAAAACTATGGAATATTTAACATTTACAGAAGAATATACATATCTTATACATGTATGAAGCATAAAAATGAAATACACCCTGAGCACCCACTCTTCAACTTAGGAAATACACCACTGAAGCTCCTACTGGTCCCTGCCCCTCTGTACCCTGGGGGACCGGGAGGCTGAACAGTGTGTCTGTCACTCCCCTGGTTTTATTTACAGTTTGACCACATATCTGTGTACTCCTAAACACTATATAATTTGGTATCATTTGTCTTTTTTTATAAAAAATTAGTATGACACTGTGCACTTTTGCAAATTGCTTTTTTTCCACTTAACATTGTTTCTAAGGCTTATCTTTTTTTTTTTTTTAACTGTGCTTTAAGTGAAAGTTTACAGCTCAAGTTAGTTTCTCATACAAAAATTTAGACACACACTGCTCTGTGACCCCAGTTGCTCTCCCTATACTGTGACAGCACACTCCTTCTTTCCACCCTGGATTTCCCATGTCCATTCAACCAGCTCCTGTCCCTTTCTGCCTTCTCATCTCACCTCCAAACAGGAGCTGCCCATTTAGTCTCATGGATCTACTTGAGCTAAGCAGCACACTCTTCAGGAGTATCATTTTATGTCTTATAGTCCAGTCTAATCTTTGTCTGAAGGGTTGGCCTTCGGGAAAGGTTTTAGTTCTGGGTTGACAGAGAGTTTGGGGCCCTGTCTTCCGGGGTTCCTCCAGTTCTCAGTCAGATCATTAAGACTGGTCTTTTTACTAGAATTTGAGTTCTGCACCCCACCTCTCTCCTGCTCTGCCAGGGACTCTCTGTTGTGTTCCGTTAGGGCGGTCATTGGTGGTAGCCGGGCACCATCCAGTTCTTCTGGTCTCAGGCTGATGAAGTCTCTGGTTTATCTGGCCCTTTTGCTTCTTGGGCTAATATTTTCCTTGTGTCTCTGGTGTTCTTCATTCTCCTTTGCTCCAGGTGGGTTGGGACCAACTGATACATCTTAGATGGTCGCTTGCTAGCTTTTAAGACCCCAGATGCCACTCACCAAAGTGGAATGCAGAACATCTTCTCCAAGGCTAATCCTTATTGATGAAAGGAAGCCGCAGCACGTTTTTTTCACTGTAACATAGTATTCCACAATTTATTCACTCTCCTGCAGATGGATACTTGAGTGATTACCAGTTTTTTTTACTGTTTTGAACAATATTGTTATGAGCATTTTTATATGTACGTCCTAGCATACAGGTATAAGGGTTTATCAAGGATATCTCAGGAGTGGAATTGTTGGGTTGCTGGGTAAGAGCACATTCAAGTTTAGAAGATAATTTCACGTTTTTTCCAACGTGATTATACCAATGCACGCTCACATCAGCAATCTATGAGTTACTGATCCACCACTTTGCCAATGCTCAGACTCCTACCAGAGTTTACATTTCAGAGTTTCAGCTCCAAGGTCCTGCTGATTCTCTCTCCAAAATACTTTTCTGACCTGAACAGTAGAAAGAGTACTGCCTTCAGAGCCAGATCTGGGTTCAATTTTCAGCCGTGGCGTTTGTTTAAGAGCTATGTGGTTTGTGCAGTTGTTCAAGCTTTCTGGATCATAGTTTCCTAAGCTGTAAACCAGGGGTAATAATTTCCCCCCCAAAGGCTAAAGTGAGCGTTCCTTGAAAAGTTAAGCACAGAACTGCCATCTGACCTAGCAACCCTACTCCTAGGTACACACCAGAGGAGGTGAAGGCAGGAACGCAGCTACGCCTACACCAATGCTCACCACAGCACTGTTCACGGCAGCCAAAAGGGAGAACAGTCTCATGCTTCCTTCCTAGCCTCACTGTATGTCAGAGCCCCCGGCCCACTTCTCCACGGCCACACCTGCCTCCTTCCCGCTCCTGGAACATTCCAAGCCCTGGCCGACCTGGGGTGCGGCACTGCCATTCCCTTAGCCTGGAATGCTCTTCCCAAGCTTGAGGTCTCAGCTCCAACAGCACGTCTCCGTGGAGACCTTCCCCAGCGATTCCAGTCTAAATGAAGCACCCCTAGAATTCTCCAACACTTCAACCTATTTCCTCTGTAGCACTTGACGTGAGCTGCACGGTTCTCTTGCTTACAGACTGTCGCCTGTGTTACGTTAGCCCCTGGGGGCAGGGACCTATCACCTTGTCTGTCCTCTCGCTGCTGTGCAGCTGTGCATGGTATGCAACCCGGCATCAATGAACACTTGTTAAATGAATGAGTGAATGCCAAATGAAGCGCTGCTTCCAGGGGATAAACACAGCTGATGTCCTTTTGTGACTATAACAGAAAATGGCACACAACAGAGAAACAAGCCTTTCAGGCATATAAAGTTAAAATTTTCCCATTTACTTTTACTGCTATCCTCCACCTCTCTGAAGTTCAACAAATTGCACTTGCCCCCAAGAACAGGGACACACAGACTGTTTCTGCATCCTGGGACAGTGCCTGGCACAGAGTATGCTTTCAATCAATGTCGCTAAAAGATGCGACTGCTCCCATGCACCAGGAGAGGGTCACAGAGGGTCCAAGTTTCCCCCCAATGCAAGGTTAGGGGACCAGGTCTGAAGAGAAGACTGCTGGGGACACAATCCATGTGAAAGATAATTGATTCGTAAATTTCTCTTTACACTGTGCCTTCTTCCCAAAAAGTCCCTGGGTGGTGCAAATGTTTAACACGCTCAGCTACTATCTGAAAGACTGGAGGTTCAAGTTCATCCAGAGGTGGCTTGGAAGAAAGGCCTGGCAATCTACTTCTGAAAGTCAGTCACTGAAAACCTTATGGAGCACAGCTCTAGTTTGACACACGTGGGGTCACCATGAGTTGGAGTCAACTTGACGGCAACTGGTTGGTCCTTCCAAAAAGATACAATGCAGTAAAATGTTGACAGACGAACTAGGAGCTGGGAACACGAGGCAGAGGAGCAGGCTGCTGGCAGAGGGAAAGTTAGCATGGAATTCTGCACAGTCTAAACCCAAGCTACAAATCCTGCTGAGGGTTCAAGCAGTCAAGTCGGAAGGCTGTGTATAAAAGGGCCAAACCGTGAACAGAATCAAGGGGAGGTTCAGCCTGAGAAGAGAAGCCAGAGGGGAAGTGAGAGAGCATCTTTGACAGCTGGAGGGCTGCCATGCAGAAAACAGAGTCAGCCTCACTCTGCTGCTCCCAAGCACGGGACACAGGATGACGGGAGTGAATGCAGCCACGGGGGCTGGCACCCGCCATCTGACCTCAGTGACTGCTCCTGGGCCCATCACAGATGGGCACCGCCTGCCTCAGCCCCCCGACTCGTCACAGGCAGGCACGGCCTGCCTCAGCCCCCTCAGACCTGTCACAGGCGGGCACAGCCTGCCTCAGCCCCCTGATCCGTCACAGGCAGGCACTGCCAGCCTCAGTTCCCTGACCCGTCAGAGGCGGACACTGCCAGCCTCAGCCCCCCAACCTGACACAGACGGGCACCGCCTGCCTCAGCCCCCCGACCCGTCACAGGCGGGCACTGCCAGCCTTAGCCCCCTGACCTGTCACAGGCAGGCACGGCGCCCCCCGACCCGCCACAGGCGGGCACTGCCAGCCTTAGCCCCCTGACCTGTCACAGGCAGGCACGGCGGCCCCCGACCCGTCACAGGCGGGCATGGCCTGCCTCAGCTCCCTAAACCATCACACGCAGGCACCTCCAACCTCAGCCCCACTACCCGTCACGTGGGCACTGCCTGCCTCAGCTCCCTGACCCCTCAAAGACAGGCACCGCCTGCCTCAGCCCCCGTACACCACACAGGCGGGCACTGCCAGCCTCCACGGCCCTCATTAACGCCAGGCCTCTCACCACGTTTCCACGTCGGCCTGTTCTCCCATCTCCACGGCACCTCCCCACACTCAGCACCCCTTGCATCCTGCCCTGATTCTCTGTGGGCAGTGGTGTTACTTCACTGGGGGCAAAAAGGGAGAATCAGACAGGAATCCCAGCAACTCCTAGTGCCCAACCGACAAGCTTGCCTGCGCCGAGGCCCACCTCTGCTTCTTGACCCACCCCTTCTCAGGATAAAGGGGATCCACTCCACCTCTCTACCTACCGCCGTCCTCACTTACTGCCACCCCCACATGACCTGGCTGCACAGAGCTCGACAAGCACATTTTCAGGGTGTGGGGGCACTGTGAATTCCAGGTCACCTATGTGTTCTGCTGCCTTTTTCCACCAGGCTGGTAGGGCCTAACCCTTCTCTTTGCTGTCCTTCCTCCAGCTGGTGGGTCAAAGAGGGACAGCCTCTCAGACTGGAACCCTTCACCCCTTCCAAGTCCTTCCCTCCCCTTCTCTGGACTAGTTCTCACTCATTCCTCAGGCCTCACTTCTTCAGGAAATCTTTCCTGACCCCTATCCTGGGTCAAAAGCCTGTTTAAACTCTTACAGTAACCTGCAGTTAGCACAATGATTAACGATTCTTTTGTCTAAGTTTCTTGCACAGTCCCATTCGGCAGGGACAACAACTTGTCTTACTCAGGTTCTCCTGAGGCCCACCAGAGTGCACAGGGCGTACAGGCACCCGTGCAGGACACACAAGTACTGCAGTGCACAGGGCGCACGGGGACCACAGTACACAGGGTGTACAGGCACCCACACAGGACACACAAGTACCACAGCGCACGGCACACGGGTACCGCAACGCACAGGGCACACGGTGCCCAGGACACGACTACCGCAGTGCACAGGGCACACAAGTACTGCCGCACACAAGGCATATGGGCACCCGGTGCACAGGGTGTACGGGCATGCTGTGCACAGGACACACGAGTACTGCCGCACACAAGGAATATGGGCACCCGGTGCACAGGGTGTACGGGCATGCTGTGCACAGGGCACACGAGTACTGCCGCACACAAGGCATATGGGCACCTGGTGCACAGGGTGCACGACTAGCACGATGCATACAGCGCACGGGCACCCGATGCACAAGGCACACAGGTACTGCCGTGCAGAGGGTGCACAAGTACCCAAGTACCACAGTGCACAGAGGCACCCAGCAAGCACTCGCTGATCAAGGCGTGAGACCCACACCCAACCCCTGCCAGGACTGCAGAGGAGGGGACGTCTGCACAAGGAATGGGCACAGCCGTGCCTGCAGGTTCCGGAGGCTCCTCCACAAGGACTCGCTCCTCCTCTGTCTCAAGTGGGAGCAGGCGTCCGGGCAGGCACAGAGCTCCCCAGGAACCCCTAAGCCCAGAGCTACTGTGGGCTCCAGATGGAAAACAGGAAATCTAGGGGAAATGTAATCACTTTCTGTGACCCGATCCAACACTCAAACCAAACTGGAACAGGATAAGAAGCTTACGTCTTCCTCGGTTGTGTGCCAATTTGCTTGACAGATTTTTCTTCAGTGTAGAAGAGCAGACTTCTTTGTGAGGTGGAGACGAGCAGCACTTTCTGGCTATAATCTAGCTGCACGATTGAAGACGGCTCTTCCAACACCAAATGGGAGTTGCAGACACCCTGTTAGAGAGAGTCCAGTTAAGCCTAACATCAATGTTGAACTTCACTTACCCTATGACGTTAAATGTCCTTTCAAATCTGTATTTAGATTGATTTACATCTTAAAATCTATGCTTTAATATACTTTAGATCCAGTGTCAACCCACTGCAGTGAAGTTACTTGGAAAAATCCTTACTAATGAGAAAATAGTCAACTTTAACATCTAATGACCGAAAAGCAGGATGAGCTGTGGTATGACATCAATGACATCATACAGGAAGGAAGCAAAAGGTCATTAAAAAGACAAGAAAGAAAGACCAGACATATGTCAGAAGAGACTCTGAAATTTGCTCTTGAACCTCAAGCAGTAAAAGTGAACAGAAGAAATGAAGTAAAAGAGCTGAACAAAAGATTTCAAAGGATGGTTTGGGAAGACAAACCAGTATCATAACGAAAAGTGCGGAGAGACCTGGATTTAGAAAACCAAAAGGGACGAACAAGCTTGGCATTTCTCAAGCTGAAAGAAATGAAGAAAAAATTCAAGCCCCGAACTGCAGTAATGAAGGATTCTATGGGGAAAATATTAAATGACACGTGAAGCATCAAAAGAAGATGGAAGGAATACACAGAGTCACTGTACCAAAAAGAACTGGTTAACAATGACCGCCCTGACAGGAAACACAGAGAGTCCTGGACAGAGCAGGAGAAAAACGTAGAACACAATTCAAATTCACGTAAGAAGACCAGACTTAATGGTCTGACAGAGACTGGAGGAACCCCTAAAACTATGGCCCATGGATGCTCTGTTAACCCAGAAATGAAACCATTCCTGAAGCCCACTCTTCAGACAAAGATTAGACAGGACTATAAAACAAAAAATAATACATGTGAGGAATGTGCTTCTTAGTTTAATCAGATATATGAGACCAAATGGGAAGCTCCCGTCCAAAAGCAGGATGAGAAGGCCGGAAGGGACAGGAACTGGTTGAATGAACACAGGGAACCTGGGGTGGAAAGTGGGAGTGTGCTGTCACACTGTAGGGATTGCGACCAATGTCACAAAACAATTATGTGTACAAATTTTTGAATGAGAAATTAACTTGAGCTGTAAATTTTCGCCTAAAGCACAATTTAAAAAAAAAAAAAAAAAGAACTGGTTGACATTCAACCATTTCAGGAGGTGGCGTATGATCAAGAATCGATGGCACTGAAGGAAGAAGCCCAAGCTGCACTGAAGAGAACGGCAAAAAACAAAGCTCCAGGAATCGACGGAAAACCAACTGAAACGTTTCAACAAATGGATGCAGCAATGGAGGCGCTCACTTGTCTATGTCAAGAAATTTGGAAGACAGCTTCCTAGTCAATCGACCGGAAGAGATCCATATGTATGTCTATTACAAAGAAAGGTGATCCAACAGAATGTGGAAATCATCGAACGATATCATTAATATCACATGTAAGAAAAATTTTGCTGAAGATCAATCAAAAGCGGCTACAGCAGTATATCGACAGGGAACTGCCAGAAGTTCAAGCTGGATTCAGAAGAGGACGTGGAATGAAGGATATCATTGCTGATGTCAGATGGATCTTGGCTCAAAGCAGAAACTACCAGAAAAGATGTTTACCTGTGGTTTACTGATTACGCAAAGGCATTCAACTGTGTGGATAACATTGCAAAGAATGAGAATTCCGGAACACTTAATTGTGCTCATGAGGAACCTGTACATGGACCAAGAGGCAGCCATTTGAACAGAACAAAGGGGATATTGCGTGGTTTAAAGTCAGGAAAGGTGTGCATCAGGATTGTATCCTTTCACCATACTTAATTCAACCTGTATGCCGAGCAAATAATTTGAGCAACTGGACTGTATGAAGAAGAACGCAGCATCATGATTGGAGGAAGACTCGTTAACAACCTACGATATGCAGATGACACAACCTTGCTTGCTGAAAGTGAAGAGGACTTGAGCACTTACTGATGAAGATCAAAGACTACAGTCTTCAGTATGGATTACACCTCAACATAAAGCAAACAAAAATCCTCACAACTGGACCAATAAGCAACATCATGATAAAAGGGGAAAATATTGAAGTTGTCAAAGATTTCATTGTACATGGATCCACGATCAACGCCCATGGAAGCAGCAGTCAAGAAATCAAATGACATACTGCATTGGGCAATCTGCTGCAAAAGACCTCTTTAAAGTGTTGAAAAGCAAAGACGTCACTTTTAGGACTAAGGTGTGTGTCATGGATTGAACTGTGTGCCCCAAAAATACATGTATCAATTTGGTTAGGCCACAGTTCTCATATTGTGTGACTGTCCACCATTTAGACATCTGATGTGATTTTCCTATGTGTTGTAAAACCTGTCACTATGATGTTAATGAGATGGATCAGCAGCAGTTATGTTGATGAGATCTACAAGATTAGATTGTCTTAAGTCAATCTCTTTTGAGATAATAAAAAAAGAGAAGTGTCCCCCAGAGAGAGGGGGACCTCATACCACCAAGAAAGCAGCGTCAAGAGCAGAGCGTGTCCTTTGGATCTGGGGTTCCTGTGAGGAGAAGCTCCTAGACGAGGGGAAGATTGACGACAAGGACCTTTCCCCAGAACCAACAGAGAAAGAAAACCTTCCCCTGGAGTTGGTGCCCTGAAATTTGGACTTCTAGCCTCCTAAACTGTGAAATAATAAATTTCTCTTTGTTAAAGCCATCCACTTGTGGTATTTCTGTTATAGCAGCACTAGATGACTAAGACAGTGTGCCTGACCCAGGCGATGATATTTTCAATCACCTCATATGCATGTGTAAGCTAGACAATGAATAAGGAAGACCGAAAAAGAATGGACGTCTTTGAATTATGGTCTTAGCAAAGAATATCGAATATACCATGGACTGTCAGAAGAACGAACAAATCTGTCTTGGAAGAACAGACAGAATGTTCCTTAGAAGCAAGGATGGTAAGACTTTGTCTCACGTACTTTGGACATGTTATTAGGAGGGACCAGTTGCTACAGAAGGACATCATGTTTGGTAAAGTAGAGGGTCAGCGAAAAAGAGGAAGACCTTCAACGAGATGGACTGACACAGTGGCTGCAACAATGGCTCAAGCATAAAGACGATTGCAAGGATGGCACAGGACTGGGCAGTGTTTCATTCTGTTGTATGTAAGGTCACTGTGAGTCAGAACCGACTCGATGGCTCCTAATAACCACATCTATCTTGCATTACAGGTTTGATAGGAAACATAAAAAAATTCTTTATAATTCTTTTGGAATGTTCTCAGTAGATAGTTCAAAGAAAAATCTATAAACAGAAATATGTTATACTGTGTGTCTTATTTATTCTCAAATAAATACACACTGTATTGTAAAATACAATGATCTGCCCACATGAACCACAGCCTCTCCTAGGACAGAAAGACCAGAAGAACTAGATGGTGTCCAGTTACCACCACTGACCTTTCTGACCAGGGACCCAACAGAAAGTGCCGGATAGAATGGGGGGAAAATGTAGAACAAAATTCAAATTCCTAAAAAAGGCCAGAACTACTGGACCAATAAGAGACCAGAGGAACCTCCGAGACTCTCACCCTAAGATACCCTTTGAGCTTGGAACTGACGACACTCACGAAGGTCACCTTTCAGTGAAATAACAGATTGGCTTATAAAATAAATATCACCTATGAGTAATGTGCTCCCTTGAACAATCAACTATATGAGACCAAATGGTCAACGTTTACCCAAAAGCAAAGATGTGAAGGTGTGATGGTTGGGATTGTGTGTCAACTTGGCTGGGCCATGATTCTCAGTGTTTTAATGTAATCACTCCCATGATTGAATATACTGGGAGTAGCCAATCAGATGAAGGGAAGTCTCCTTGGGGGTGTGGCCCATATCTGTATATAAGCAGACGTTCTGGCTTTTTGCTCTCTCTGGATCCTGCGGCTGCTTCCTGTCATCTCATCTCCCATTCTTGGGACTTGAGCTGTCAGCTTATCTGCCAAACCTGGGATTCATCGATCTGCACAGCCTGTGAGTGGGAGCCCTGCTCTCCGACCTGCCGATCTTGGGCTTGCCAGCTTCTGCAGCTGTGTGACTTGGGAAAGACCTCTACCCTGCTCCACGGACTTGGGACGTTCTAGCCTCTACAATCATGTGAGCTGTTTCCTTGATATAATCTCTCTCTATATATACATATTTACACACTTTATTGGTTTTGCTTCTCTAGAGAACCCAACCTAAAACAGAAGGCAAGGAGAGGCAGGGAAGGTAGATCAATGGAAACAAAATAAACAGAATGGAAATGATGAGAATGCTGACACCCTGTGAAAACTGTAACCAATGTCACAGAACAATTTGTATAAAAATCGTTAAATGTGAACCCAACTTGCTGTGTAAACTTTCACCTAAAACACAATATTAAAAAAAAAAATACAATGGTCAGTTCTTTGGGTTCATATTACCCTTGCTGCCCCAAAAAGAGTTTGAAGCAATAGTGAAGACATTATATCCTTGCCAACTGAAAGGGTCATAGGAAACAGGACGTTAGAAAGAAATGAATTTAAATGGTATTAGATATATTAAAGAACAAAAGAGAAATTCTGGAAGGCATTTTATTGCTAAAACAAACCATATTTCTTGGTGTCAAAAATCTGCTTGTATAGCTCACTCTTGAATCAGCTTCCTAAATTATTTAACATTGCTGCAACACCACAGACCTTTCTTTGGGAGGGTAGGGGCAGCAATGAGGCTTACTGGTAAAATTTACATACAGTAAAATTCACCCTTTTTAGGTACACAATTCTATGCCTTTTGACGAATGTGTACAGTTGTGTAATCACCACCCTAATTAAGACAGAGAAACTTCCATTACCCTCAAACATCATGGACTGTTAAGGCAGATTTCCCCACATTTACAGTGAGTGATTCAGATGTAGCTTTTGAAGTTTCTAACTTACCTAGCAGGGGGATAAAGCATATTATACTGTATTCTGCAAAACACGCATCCTCCCATGTCCTTTTATTTTTTTTTTTGGCAAATCTCATGAAGAAGTTGTGTCTTTAAAATAATTATCAGGGTCCTGAAGGACCACCTGCCTGCATCTGAGTCTGTCTCGCTTTACTGGAATGGTCCTGCCCAGATGGCTTTCTCTGTTTCCTCACGGGCCTGCCCACAGGGGCTGGGGAGTGGAGGACACAGAGAAATGATTACAGCTGTTCTTCCCTCACAAGGATCCAATGAAAGCGGGAATACGTCAAAAGAAGCTGCACAAGCTGCTTTTTTCACAAAACACCATTTTTACTTGAAATACTGTAATTATTCAAACTTGGGTATTTGGCAGACATGTTCTCAGAAAGAACAAAGTGAGCCTGTCACTTCAAGGAAAACAAGGGACAGTATTTGTTGCCGATGATAAAACAAGCTTTCCAGTGACGATTAGAATTTTCGAAACCTGTATCCACCCATGTGAGCTTAACAGCTTCCCAATAGCTAAAGACTTTTCTAATCAGAAAGACAGCAATATTAGCAAAGGTTATTTTTTTGATATTGCATAATAAAATGTGTCAACATTTGGAAGATCTACATCATCCCATGAACCAGTATTTTTCAAATGACCAACACATACATGATGTTACAAAATTGTGCATGGGTAAAAGATCCATTCCAAGTGTAAGACAGAGGAAAAGTTCATCGATATGTTTCAGACTGCCCATGGTAACTAATCTTTGAAGAAACTATCACTTGTCAGGTTTAGGGGTATTATCAAAGAAGAATATTCATGATTACCTGGAAAGGTTATAAAAATACATCTCCCTTTTTCCAACTACATGTCTGTGTGGGATCAGATTTTTTTTACATACTTCAACCAAAACAATGTACTACAACAGATTGAAAACAGAATCCAGCTGTCTTCAAAGAAGCCAGACATTAGAGAGACTTGCAAAAATGTAAAGCAATACCCACCTTTTAGTCTGGTTTTTTATTTTTAAGAAAATACTTAGTTTTCACAATAAATGTCATTTCTATTAACATGTCATAGGTTTTTTTAATAGTTATTTTAAAATACTTAGCAAACATTTTTAAATTCCTCTGTTTTAATTTCTAACACAGTACACGCGAGAGATATAACCCACACAAAGAAACGCTCTCTGGGCTCCTCAGTAGTTTTTAAGGGAGTAAGGGGCTGGGAGACGAATGAGTGGGACAACTGTTGCTAGTGAATATCTGTAATAGATGGCTCAGTCTTGGATCAGAAGAATTAAAAGTCATTCACAGCTAATAAGTGCTGAAAACCTACTAGGGACGAAAGCTGCAAATAAGAAAAAGTATCGTGTCCCCCAGGAGCTCAGTCTAGCTGGGCAGAGAGGCACACGGCAGGACAGGCAAGCCCCAGGCAATGTGTGCAGTGGAGAAGGTATGGGCTTTGGAGAAGAGCCTTGGTTTGAAATTTAGCCCTGCCAGGATTAGCCTGTGATCCTGGGTTAATTACTAGACCTCTCTGAGCCTGGTTCTTCACTGAGTGCTTAGAGATAAGAACACACAGCTCAGAGGAGGTGGTGAAGTTAAGAGCAACAACCTGCCACTCTCTCGCACCCGAGGTTCTCTTAACAGGCCAGCGGTGAGTGCTCCATCCACTGAAATCACTGACTTTTGCCCACAACTGTGATTAGGAAATGCTTGCCATCACTCCTATGAACCTTTCAAGGAATTTGGAATGATAATGGCTTTGTTTCTAAGTAGTGGAAAAGCGCCGAATGAAAAAAGTGAATGTTCCAGAAGAAACAAAGGCCAACAACTCTTTAGTCACAGAAGTGGGGGCTCAGAAACGGTCAGAAAAGTCCTTGAAAGAAAATGTTACAAGTAGCAATTGAGATTATAAAGGGAATGTGATCAAGAATGCAAACTAACTAAAAATACGATCTACACTTTTTCCAACTGTAAGAAGGTATAAACCAGCCACATTTCTGAAAACCACTTTACCTGGTCTAGATCCAGAGAAGAATAGACGATTTTCCCTCGGTCATCTCCAGAGAACAACTTCATCCCATTGGGGCTCCAAGCCAGAGCTGTGATACTATTTTTGTGAATACCGGTGACATCGAACCTCCGAAGCTACAAATAAATGATAAAAATACACACCAGGAAGAGAGAAGGATGAAACTGTGACATCAAGGTGACACACACTTCCTCCTTTCCCAGCCTTGTTTTCAGTGTACATACCTGCATGAGGTTCCATCTGTCTCTTAACCTTCAAAACCCACAGAGAATGTACCAGAGTATTAAGCAAAATTGAAATTATCTGTATGTGCTTTTTGCCAGGAACAAAAATGTTATGAACAGCACAAGGTTAAAACTTCTCTGAGCAGAAATTTTTTAGGCAGGTGAGGATTCCTCATTTTAAAGTCCATGAGGAATTTGGTGAGAAGCTAAGAAATGCTGCAATGGTGAGTAAACCAAAACCAAATCCATTGCCACTGAGTGGATTTCGACCCATAGCGACCCTATAGGACAGACAGGAACTGCCCCATAGGGTTTCCAAGGCTGTAAACCGTTATGGAAGCAGACTGCCACATCTTTCTCCTGCGAAAAGCTGGTGAGTTCAAACTGCCAAGCGCTTTTGGTTAGTAGCCAAGCGCTTAACCATTGTGCCACCAGGGCTCCTCGCAATGGTGATTACTCACCTGTTTATTTCTCCCCGGTAATGAAGACACGAGCTGAAACACTGCCACCCTGCCCGATGCCGTGCCTGCAGCCACAAGGTCGTCGAAGCAGCTCAGCAGCTTCACCACTGTGATGGACTCAGTTTTGCCCTGAAAGAGGGAACATTCACCAATGAGTGAACCTCCCACCAAGCAGCTTTTTGAAGAGCAAAACCAGGCAGATATTACAATGGAATGAGAACTGCATCGGGTGCACCTTTATTTCCTGACTGGAAAGGTACAAAAACCAGAAAGACAATCCAATTGGCTAAAAGCCTCCCTCTTCTTTCCAGGTTTTTAACATTTCAAATGACAAAATAGAAAACCTCATTGTGGATGAAGGCAATGTTAACCAATCAAGTACAACTATCCAAAAAAACCAAACCCGCTGCTGTGGAGTCAATTCCGACTCATAGTGACCCTCTAGGACAGGGCAGAAGTGCCCCACAGGGTTGCCAAAGCCGTAATCTTTACAGAAGCAGACTGTCACATCTTTCTCCTGTGGAATGGCTGGTAGGTTCAAACCGCTGACCTTTCAGTTAGCAGCTTCATGCTTAACCACTGCACGACCAAGGCTCCTCACAAGTAGGACTATACTGAGCTCTTATCCAGAGAGGACCAAGGAGTTTGACAAGAGAGGTATCTCCCCCCAAACAGGAGTATGGTGTCAGAAAAGCTGTTCCAAATCCAAGCTCTGCTTTATTCTACCTGTCTCACCTTGGACAGGTCACTCCGCCATTCTCAACCTAAAAGCTTGTTGTCTGCCTCACAGGCTTGTTGCATGATCAATGAGAGGATAGGTCTGAAAGTGCTTTATAAATGGATTCCTGGGGTGTTTTAGTTCTTAGATCGATAATCATATTAAATAACATTAACTCAAGCTTAATGGATCGTGTGATGGTAAAGAATTTAACTTTATCTAAAGAATTTGATCTTTGCCCTTCCTTCCTGAGAGGTAACCTCTCCCTAGCAATTGAAGTGCCTTTGATGAGGCCTCCAGATCACACCTGAGGGTTTATGTTAATGCGGTACCTATCAGATGAGGGCTGACCCAGCCAGAAAGACCCACCAGGTGATATCAACCCAATATCAGGCGAGGGGAACTGGAAGTTGAGTTCAACCATGTGGGCACTGATTCCGGACAATCATGCCTACATAATGAGGCCCTCATAAAGGCTCTGGACTTGAAAGCTCCAGGGGCTTCCCGGCTGGCGAAAAACACCGATCCGTGGGGGTGGGTAGGGCATCCCTATTTGGGATATGGAAGCTCCCACACCTTGCTCTATGCATCTCTTCATTTGTATTCTTTTTGCCAGAATAAAACTGTAATCGTAAGTATAATGCTCTCCTGAGTTCTGTGATTTCAGCGAATTACTTAACCTGAGAGAGTAGTGGAAGCCAGCAGGTCAGGAGTGAAGGGAGCCCAGGGGATCCCTGAGTTTATGACTGCATCCTGAAGGGGTAATGGGAATCCCTGAATTATAGCCAGCAGGTCAGAAATGAGGGTGTCATAGGGACTCCAAGCTTGCAGCTGGCGTCTGAGGTCTTGGGCCAACTTGGCAGTCTGGAGGACTGTGCCCTTTAACTTGTGACCTCTGACCTAGCTCTAGCGGTTATGGTCAGAGGAAGAAGTGCTGCATGTGTAGCTGGTGTCAGAACAGAGGGGAACAGAACTGATAATAGATTGCACCAGCTGATCCTTACACACTTGGTAACAGAGAAGTGGGATCCGATTATCCTCAAACACTGGCTTATTAAAAAGCACTTGTACAAGCACCACACACAGATATTCAGGCTTCCAACCCATCTGAGGGATGATTTCATTTTGAAACCACTGATTCAGAAAAATTACACAACAGTTTTGAACTTGTCTGAGACATATGACAAAATCTCCAGTAAATCGTTTTGATTCTTGATGTAGTAACTTAGACAGAAATCAATGTGTCAGATACATAAGACTACCTCCCATGTTCAGGGAACCTAGTGAGCTGTTCTGGCAGTATAAATTAGAACAGGTCAGAGGCCCGCCTCTAAAAGCTTGCTGTGGCAATAAGATAGGCCAGGGGGAAGATGCCGAACAAAGCGTGGGAGTGGTAATGATGAAGCCTACTTTCATCTGGGACTCGCCAGCTTTCAGGTTATTTTCACAGGCTGTAAATAACTTCTGGTGCCAGACTGTGATGTGGGTTAAGGAGCTTGGATCTTAAGCTATAGGAAGGAAAATGGGGAGCCCGCTGAAGATTCTCAATTTTGCTAGGGTATCAGCCAAAGAGGTGTTTTGATAACCCAATTCAGGAGCTGGAAGGAGGGAGTGGGGCAAGGCAGAGAGACCTGCAGAGCCTTTCACAGTAGCTCAGGTCTGAAGCAGTAAGGGCCTAGTCTAGAAAAGTGGCAAATAGAAAGGGAGCAAAGGCTGTAAAAACTGCAATGAAGAAAGAATTCTCAGGCCTTGTCACAGTTAAGGGCAGCAACAATGACAACAGCACAGCAGCCTGCCTTCACTGAGCATTCCCATGTGCCAGGCAACTTGTTAAATGCTTTACATGTGTTCTCAGTTAATCCTCAAGCAGCCTAGCAGGGTAGGTGCTGTGGTCATCCTCATTTTACAGATAAGGGACTGAGCTCCAGAGAATTTAGGGGACACTCTCATTTCTGACTGGCTTTAGAGAATTTAGCTAAGATCAACCAGCTGGTGAGAGTCACTCAGGACTCAAGCCCGAGCAGACCATCTCCAGAGGCCCTGCTGGGACATGCCGCTTTCTTCCATGCTTTCTCTGTGGTGGAAGTGACACGGCTTGAAGGAAGGCTTGGGGGGCTCTTGGAGAGGAAAGAGAATGAAAGGACATTATGGTCTCGAGTGTGGGTAACACGAGAGTGCTAGAACCCTTAGAAGAATTCAATGGCAATGCCCTGAGGGAGAGGTGACATAACGTGTTAGATACATGGCGTTTGGACAGAGTAGCAAGGTGTTGGAAAGAAAATATTTTCCCTGGGAGTTTCTAATTATAAAATCAGCCACCACAAGGGCTGTGGGGACCATGGTCTCGGGGAACATCTAGCTCAATTGGCATAACACAGTTTATAAAGACAATGCTCTACATTCTACCTTGGTGAGTAGCG